TTGTTGGGGTCTCTGGAAACCGCCCTTTGCGGTGGGGAAAAGGGTACCGCGCCTGCTCGCGAATTCCAGGGAGGTGGCATTGCTGGGGCCCCTCGCTTCCCAGGTCCGGGTGAAAGGTGAAGGTGGAGCCCATTACCCTCGGCGTCTGGGTCCCTTCCTGTTCCTTCAGACCCCGGCTGGCGGCGCCGGAGTTGCGGGGTGCAGGGAGCGCGGTGTGCGGGCTCGAGGTGCTGCGGGGGCCTGGCGGCCGGGGAGGAGAACCACCATCCGGGCCTAGCAGGTGGCTCTGGTCCCCCGCCGAGAGAGAACCACGACGTTAGCACGATGAGTTGTACCGATGCGGAAGCAGAAGCGAGCCGCGAAGGTGGACGCGCAGGGCCGAGCCCGCGGCTGGGCGCCGCCTGCCCCCGGGCTTCTGCCGGTTCCGCCGCACATTACATCTGCGGGCGCAGCCGGCGCCCCGGCTTCACCTGCCGCCCCTTCCTCCTTAACGTTCGCTGTACTTTGCGATGATCTTTCTATCCAAACTGTTGTTTCCCTTTACCTTCGTTCACAGTCATGTACTGGGCATTAATCTGCCCGGCCTCCTGCTAGGGACACAGGCCCTGAAGCCCAGAACTTCTCCGGTTTCTGGAGAGACAGAGAACTAGTTCTGGGCATTTTAGAATCAATTAAAGAGAGAGACAACACAAGCAGATAGGCACGGTACACAGCCAAGAGAGCGGGGCTGCAACAGGAAGAAAGCAGACTGCCTGAGCTGGAGAAAGTGCTAGAAAACTGTGCCTTTTTCATTTTAGAAGTTATGCGAGTATTACACGAACATTGATACTATGAATATTTCATATTTTCATTAAAATAAATAAGCAGAACATAAGTCCCCCTTTATATGTCTTCTCATCCCACTCTCCTCTGCAGAGATATAATTTGGCACATATTTTTTCGAACACTGCTATGAGTAAGTGCACACCATACAGAGCGACTGTACACGTAAAAGTGACCTGTGTGTGGATACTTTTCTGTCATTTTGTCTCAGGTGTTCACAAGTTTTTTTGACTCCACGTTTATTCCATAGTACGGGTAGACTAGAGTTTATTTAACCTCTCACGTACTGATGAACGTCTGGGTTTCTAGGTTTTTACTACTATAAACAGTTCTTCAGTCATTATCATTGTGTATATGAATGGGTGTTTTACTTGAATAGCTAGAGGCAGAATTGTTGAAGCAGAGGCGACAACTAATGTTCAACTGGATCTTAAAAGAGAAAAACGTATTCTCCCTGTAGAGACCAGGGAGAAATATTCTCTGCAGAAGGATCAGTGTGTGTAAATCCTAAAGGAAAATAGAAATAGGTAATTGTTGATTGTACTGTACATACATTAACTTGTTTAAACCGGACAGTAACTCACTGAAGGGCACTTTAGGACTAATTAAAGAGTCTGAGCTGCATCCTGTAATGTATGTTGTAGGCAGTAGCCAGGTAAAGTTAGATTTACCGCTGTGAAAACAACAAAATTACAGAGTATTCTAAGGTTAGGCTTAACAAGGTAATAACCTGGTTCAGTCAGCATTACTCTAAAAGATTCCTTAAGAAAACCACACATTGTCTCTCAGCAAATTCCAAGTAGCCAGTTTCTCCTCTGTGTAGGAATAGAGCAGCGTTACTCTGGTTGTGTAGCAGATCAAGTCATTGATGTATAAGGTGAGGATATGTCTCCATTGGAATATATGGAGAGACGCATACCATGAGAGGTTTGCTGGTGCTGAGACTCATCAAGGGAATGTGATTGGTTCAGGCTTTTTCTCACTGAGCAGAAAAGCAGGAAATCCAGTCTTCATTGATTATCCCCCCCACCTCCCAAGTACTGCTGAATTATAGACAGTGAAATATCAGCTTGACGATTTTACAAGAGAAATAGAACTATCTGTGATTTAGTTTCACAAGTTACTTGTTATGATTATGTTTTCTGATGGCTGCATGCCAGAAGTGAGTTTAAGTGATATCCTGTTTCACTGTAGTATCACTGCAGTTTTCCAGTTACTAACAATGAGAAATAGCCTGCTCCCTCTAAAATAGTTGGATTCCAGGTGTTTCAAAAACTAATTTTGCAGACAAAAATGAACCAAATTTTTAAAATCTAAAAGAGGTAAGAAAACGTCTATTTTTACTTTTACATTTATTCTGTTTAAAATATACATAATGTAAAATTTGCTATTTTAACCATTTTTTAGTGTTGAATGCAGTGGCATTAATTACACTCTCAATGTTGCCGGGTGTGGTGGTTCACGCCTGTAATCCCAGCACTCATGAGGCTGAGGCAGGAGGGTTGTTGCAGGTTCAAGGCCAGCCTGAGCTACAAAGTGAGCTCAAGGCCAGCCTGAACTGCATAGGGAGATCCTGTCTCAAAAAAAAGATCAATGTTGTGCAACTGTCACCACTTTCTACTTCCAAAATTTTTCATCACCTCATACAGAAACTCCACAGCCATTATGCTTTAACTCCCTACCCTTCCTCCCTGCAACTCCTGGAAACCTCTAACCTGCCCCTGAATTCATCTGCCCTAGGTATTTCATATAAATGAATCATTTAATATTTGTCCTTTTTATGTCTATCTTATTTAGGGTAATGTCTTCAAGTTTTGTCCATGTTGTAGCCCGTGTCTTGAACTTCATTCCTGCTTTAGTGGCTGAGTATTTCATTGTATCTAAGTACCACATTTGCTGTTCTTGATGAACGCTTGTTTTATCTCCACCTTCTGGTTACTGTTTTCAACTCTGCTTAGTATATACTTAGGAGTGGAGTTGATAGAAGCCTGTATCTTTAAACTGTTGTAACTATACGCCCATGTTTCCATCACTTCGTTATCAATGAGAATGACAAATGAAAATACAAAGTGTCTGGTTTTTACAGATACTTTTTTTTATAATTTGCTTTTGGATTTTCTTAATTATTGGACCTAATAAATGGAACTGTTAGGTGTTTTTCTTGGCCTATGACTACTGCAAATAAATTATTAAAACATTAAGGGCATTGTGAACTGAAAAATGTTAGGTTTATAGTTTTCCAACTAGTTTTTCGTCCCATTTAAACTGTACTTTGGACAATTCCATTGTATAAATTTACCGCTTGTAACTATTCCTTTACTGGTGGATTTCTAGCATATTTGTAGTTTTTCTTTTAATCTTATAAGAGTGCTGCTAAAGAACATATTTATACATATTTTCATCTGGTTCTTTCATACCAGTATTCCTATAGAATAGAGTTCTAAAAGTAAAATAATGAGGCAATAAAGATATGCATACTTAAAATGTTGCTACTAACTGTCTCTTCCAAAGTTTAAAATTATAAACTTCTATCTGAGAGTAGCCATCTCTTCATCCCCTCACTAATATTCGATATTACCCGTATTTTTAACTTTTACAAACCTGATACAAGGTTTTGTTGAACTCCTGTATTTTCTTAATTCGTTATGAAATTGGGAAACTTTTATCATTTCATTGGTCATTTGCATTTCTCATATCAATACCCTGTTCATAGATTTTCACTTTTTCTGTTGGGATTTTTGTTCTTTTCCTGGTTATTTGTGTGAACTCTTCCTATTAGTACTAGTTTTTTATCTTTTCTCGGTTACAAATATTTTTTTCTGACTGCCAGCTGCCTTCAAATTGTTATACATTTTCTGTGTATAAATTTAGCATTTTGTAAGGGCAAGCCTTTATGGTTTTTACTTTTTGTGTCACGTAGCATGGCCTCCTTTTCCAAGGTTTAAATTATCCACTTATGCACTATTAAAAGCACTATTAGTACTTTTAAGATGTTAGCTTTCAGATTCAAATTTGGAATTTAAGCATAAGGAATTAGGTAATTTTACCTACTTAAAGTTTTCTCCTAAATAGCTTCTCTACCTTATTTGTCAAATAAAGTCTTTTCCTTATTAATTTCCTTATTAATATTACTTTTCACAGGCACAGAATTCTCATATTTGATATGCTGTGGATCTCCTTTTTTTCCTCCACTTTCTCCTTCCCCCTCTTCTTCCTCCTCCTTCTCTTTCTTTTTCAAAACACTAAATCTCTTTATCACAAGAAGAAAGATCAGTCTTCCTTTGGAAGATGCTAAAATGGTTTACATGTCAGGTCTTTAAAAGCCAGCTTTGGTTTCTCTGAGAAACATCATATATCTAATATATTAAGATAAATAACACAAGGGCTGGGGATTTAGCTCAGCGGCACAGAGCCTGCCTGGCAAGCCCAAGGTTGTAAGTTTGATTCTCGGTACCGGAAAAAAACCAAAAAAAAAAAAAAAAAAAAGATAAATAACACAAGGTCATTCTCCTGAGGTTGTCTCTGGTACTGTCAGTTACTACAGCATAGCACAATACAAAACCAAACTGATTTAAGAGTGTATTTTTCCTTTCTATTTAGTTAAATTGACATGTAATTATATACATTTATGGGGTAGAATGTCTTGTTTGATACCTGCAAACATTGTGTAATGATCAATTTAGGGTAATAACATACCACTTCAAACATTATCATTCCTTTGTAGCGAACTGTTCAAACTCTTTTAGTATTTTGAAATACCTATGTTAACTAGAGTCACCCTACAATGCAAAACTTAAAGAAGTATAATCATAGTGCATTACTTGACTAATAAAAAATCTTTAACAGTCAAATAGGGGTGTTTTTTGTGACCAATATCTGGATTTCAGCCAAACACCAACAGCTGTGCTTCAGCCAGTCCCAGGTGCCCAGTGGATCAGGCCATGTTGAAACAAGGCAAAGATCTCACCATAACTAACCCAATTCTTTCTGTACTTTTTGTGTTCAGCTATAAAAACATGCTGTCCTTCCTACCCAGCAGAACTCTCTGAACCCCTTTCCATTTAGAGTGCTGCCTGATTCGTGAGTTGTTCTTTCCTCAAACTGTTAGATTTGTCTAAAGTTTTCTTTTTTAATATGTAAGAGAACTACAAGTACTAGAAATGTAAAACACCCAGAACTGGATTCCTTTTCACAGAATTAGCAGGTGCGTGTCACCTGTTATTTTTTACATCATTTATTTCACTTTTCCCTGTTCTTAGTTTCTGGACTATCCAAAACTTCCATCTTACCTTTCCCACCTTCTGAACTAGGAAGCTTGATGTTATCCACGGTGACTTCCCGGGCGACTCTGTTATACTCGTTTTGGGACTGTGATGTAACTGTTCTCTGAACTGTCTTGGGAACACTCTTCTGAACTATCCTTGTCATCTCAAATAAGGCCGCATCCATTTGTATAACTTTGTCAAAGGTCCTGTCAGTATTTTCAGTATTGAAACAGGCAGGAGATCAGCCTCCATTTCTTTTTTGAGCTTTTGATTTGCCTGGCCATCTGTGGGAGAAAGTTCTGAACTTGGCAAGGACTCCTCTCTATCCAAACCATATGAAGAATAGATAGAGGTTTTTTCTCAAGTTAGGCTTGCGGTTGATAAGCACTTTGTCGCATATACCGATTGAAGCCTATAGATTACATTAGAGTTCAGAGCAGATTCTGAAGCTGGACTGTTTGGGTCCAAATCCTGGCTTTGCTGCTTTTCAGCCACCACATCTGCGGCAAGTTATTTATCTGTGTGACACTCCATACCTCTGTTTCCTCTTCTGGTAGTTGGGCGGAAGCTTTTTTCCTTTCTTTCTCTCTCTTTCCTTCCTCTCCTGCCCCACTCTTTTGTTACTACAGATTGAACATTGTGGGTCTCGTTCTGAACTCAGACTTTTAAGCCTTTTCCTTTGTCAGTTATACAGTATTTAAATCAATTCCACCTTATATGTAATACTTTAGACAATTTGAGGCATTATTTTCCATTCCCAGCCATGAAATATCGTTGTTTACCTTTTTACAGTAGTCTTTTTGTTGTAAAATATGAATATTAACAACTTCTTTGGTTTCTTTCAAAATCTTTTACTTTTCTTTGTTTAAATAATTTTAGACCTCTAGAAAAGTTACAAATGTAAAACAGTTCCCTTTATTCTTACTCAGTTTCTATTAATGTAAACATTGTATTTAATACAATCATTGTGATCAGGAAGTGATTAATTACATAATACTATTAAATCCTTCATAATTAAGTTTCACCAGTTTTTACATTAATAGTTCTTTCTGTAGCCTCAGATCGAATCTAGGATTCTACATTCATTAAATTACCATGTCTTCTTAGTCTCCTGTAGCCTAACAGTTCCACTATTTATCTTTCATGATGTTGATATTTAAGAGTACTAGTTATTTTCTATTGTTTTTGTTTTCTTTTGGTATTTTGAGACAAGGTCCTGCTATGCAGCCCAGGCTGGCCTTAAACTTGCTCCAGTCTTCCTACCTCTGTTTCCTATATGAGCATGTGCCACCACACCCAGCTTTATTTTGTACATTGGATTTGTTCTGAGATTTTCTTACTAAATTCTGATTAGGGCATGCATTTTTGTCAAGGAGTCATGTGTTCCTCTTGACATGGCCAATGTGATTCCATTTTGATTCTCAACTCCATTTTAGAAGTCACTTAAACTCTAGATTAACTCACTCCTCACCCCTCCCATTTTAGTTAACCATAAAACTCACAGAGGAAAAACAAGTCATTAATTAAAGGAACAAACAGAACAAATTTTGGGGTTAGCTAAAAATGTTAACTGCATCCTGCTTGACTAATGAACCCCTGGAAAATGTTAACTGTGTGACATTCTTGTAAAATTTGGAAGTGAAGTAATGTGGTTACCATGGTTACTTACAAATGTATAAAAATTCAGTACAAAGTTCTCTGGGGTTTGGCACTCTTCACTGGCTACAGTGGATTGTCGTCTGCTGGCAATAAAGCTTGCTTGTATCCATTTTCAGCCTCTGTGAGTGATTGTCACCATCTGCCATAACACTCTTGGTGCATCATGTCAGGAAGTCAGGAAACTACACGTTGTCAGCTTGTCTTATTACCAAAGAAGTTTTTGCATCGCTTGTTCAAGTGGTATCTCAATTTCCTGCCTTTGTAATAAATAAACATCTCATGAAGAAATAGTATCCTATTTCTCATCATAGCTTTACCTATTAAATCTAGACCTATCAGAGCAACAATTGTTACTGGAGTGTCTCTGCTCATGATTTTATTTCCATCATTCCTTCTACATTTACCAAGTGGGACTCTGATAAAAGGAAGAGGACCCTTTCTCCCGCCTTTATGTATTTATTCAGATATACCTTATTATCAGTCTACACTATAAATTTCTCTTATGAGTTGTTATCCAATACTATATTATGTTACCAGTTTATCAGAGATAGAAACATTACCATTTAGCACTTACAAATGTAGTTTAAAATGTGAGTTTCCCACATCTAATGTATAATTATCTTTGCTTGAAAGGGGAAATGAAATTAAAATTTCTTAATATTGCAATAGGTTAGAATAAAACTAGCAAATTATTTCTGTAAGTATTATGAAATGCTTAATGTACATTTACAAGCTCTGGCTAAATAAAGGGCTTCCAGAGAGTAGAATATGGAGTGGACAGGTCAGCCATCCAGCATGGTAGCAAGAGGACAGCTTAGATCTTTCTGTTTAGAGTCAGAATATGGGGATAAGTGGGAAGATTTCTTTTTCTGTACTCTATTCACATTCTTTTCCCAGTGCTGACGATTGAACGTGGGGCCTCATTCATGCTATGCAAGCACTCTGCCACAGAACTATTTCCCCATCCTTTCTAGAAACACTTCTGACTCCAAAGGTGTGGGTTTTGTATACCAAGAAATTCTCTGTGGATACCAACTGGATGTTCTACAATTTAACTTTGAACTACTGTGCTAAGAGGAATATTCATCACAGTTTAAGGACTATACCACAAGACAGTCTCTTCTTCAGACACAAGTTGAAACTCCAGGCTTCCCATAGTTCTAACCAACTGGCTGTAAATCAGGTTAAGTAGTTTGCTGGAATGGCTAACAGAACTCAAGGAAACACCTTTATCAGTTTATTTTAACCACATACCAGTTCAATTACTTAAATAATGACCAAAAATTGCTTATTGTTTGTTATTTTTATAAGAAAATATAACAGGAAATATAAAAATGATATTTTTATGAAATTTATTCAATATAAGAATTGACTGGTGGAAATGACTCTTGCTTAAGTGGCACTGCCCAAGTGATAGTCAGAAATGCACTGCCCGAGTGACACACAGGATAAACTGTTCAGTGATTAAAAGGAATGGTGAAGGACACAGGTGGCTAGCCAGGTGAAGCAGCATCTGGAGGGGTCCTGAGCACAGTAGCCTCTGTCCCTGTGGCATTGGGGCGCACCGTTCTCCCAGCACGTGAATGTGTTAACCAACCCAGAAGCTTCCAGAACTTTGTAACTGAGGGGCTTCTTATGGCAGCTTCATCATGTAATCATGACTGGCTATTACTTCGTTCTCCAAGCCCTCTCTGCTCCCTAGAGGATGAGGATTCCCTAGAGGATGAGGAGTACAACTGTTTTACTATTATCATTCCGGGTGTGTGTTACTGAGGACTGAATCCAGTGCATTCATGCTGAGCAGCTACATCCCCAGCCCCTTGTATTGGTTATTTTGAGACAGGGCCTCACTAAATTGTCTAGGCTGGGCTTGAATTTGTGATTCTCAGCCTCAGGCTGTCAGAGTGCTGGTATTTCAGGTATGTACCACTATTCCTAGCTGGAAATTGTTTTTTTTCTCTCTCATAGATTTGAGGTCAATAAAGGGAAGCTGCTATAATTTTTGTACTGTTTCTAAGGATGTCACTTACGAAGAACTTAAAAACCTGTTGAGTTCCAAAAATATTATGTTAATTGATGTTAGAGAGAAATGGGAAATTCTTGAATATGGAAAGATCCCTGGATCTATCAATATACCATGTAAGTAACATATATCTCAAACTGAATGAAAATATATTCAATAACTTACTGTAACCAAAATCTAATTAAAATTCTTGACATTCCATTTCAGTGCATGAAGTAACGGAAGCCCTACAGATGGACTCAAGAGACTTCGAAGAGAAGTACCACGAAGTAAAGCCTTCCAAATCAGACAGTCTAGTGTTTTCTTGTTTAGCAGGAGTAAGAAGCAAGGAGGCTCTAGACACAGCAAGATCTCTGGGCTTTAACAGGTGTGTAGATGAAGAAAAAATGGATTGAAGATGGTGTACTGAAGTGTTTCACATATATTCATTTAATGACATTTTTCTTGATGTACTTAAGAATTTTGGGGGGCTAGGAATACAGCTCAGTGGTAGAGCATGTGCTAAGCATGCACACAGCCTGGGGTTCACTCCCCAGCACCATACCCAAACACCCCCACCACCACCACTACAGCATTATAGTTACCATTAATAAAGGCAGGATAATGACACTTCAGAGCGTATAACTTTTCATCTTACTTAAAAGCATCACAATCTATTAAATAGGCTTAGAATCTAAATAATATGGTGAGTAATTGCACTATCTCTAAAGTCCCTATCAACTGCTGAGCATGGTGGTGCATGCCTGTAATCCCAGCAGTTGGGAGGTGGAGGTAGGAGGATTGTTGTGAGTTCGAGGCCAGCCTGGGCCACATAAGTGAGTTCAAGGCCAGCCTGAACTGCATAGTGAGACCCTGTCCCAAAAAAGAAAAAAAAATTCCTAACAACTTTCTGTTACAAAACAAGAGAAAATGTTAGTAACACTAACTATTTGGTATGTATTTTCAGTGCTAAACACTATGCTGGAGGATGGAAGGAATGGGTCACCTATGAATTTTCAGAGAAGAAACAAGGAAATTAAATTTTGGAATACAAGTTGGCTCTTTGTGGACATGCAGCCTAGGACAGTGGAATGAACATAAGGGAAATCTAGTCCTGACACCAGTGGTTAATGGTAAGGGGATTCTATATAAGCCACCTGCTTGTTCAATCTTTTTCTCCTCTGTAAATTGAGAATAATGCTCTCCCCCTTCCCCAGCTGATCATTTTCAAAGGCTACTGAGGGTTGAAATAATGGATGTGACTTGTTCTGGAAATATGCATTTGGATTCTAGGAGTTAATTTTTTAAATAGTTTAGCACAGTTCAGTAATATTCTAAAAGACTAGGTTACTTGTGCTATTTAATCATGTGTGTCCATTTGGGTTAATATAGGTTCTATTCATCAAAGAGGCAATGAACTTGACAGTAGATCAGCAAGTAGATTTGACCTTGAAAAAAAAATCAAGGATCTGGGATCCAGATTTGAACAAAGAAAATACATTAATATCATCCAAAGACGCATGGCATTGTTGTGACCAGAATAGCAGTGATAAAATTTGCAATTTAAAAACTAAAATTAGTATGACTAACATGGGGTTAGAAATCAGAACAGTGGTTACTTCTGTGGTAGATTAACTGGACGAGGCAAGGAGGGAATTTTCTAGAGTGATAGAAATGTTCTGTATCTCAGCTTAGGTATTGGTACATAGGTATCTGTTTTCAAAACTCATTGAAGTAAACACAAACACATGACATTTTTCTTGATGTACTTAAGAATTTTGGGGGGCTAGGAATATAGCTCAGTGGTAGAGCATGTGCTAAGCATGCACAGAGCCTGGGGTTCACTCCCTGGCACCATACACAAACACCCCACCACCACCACCATATGCTTGTCTCTAAGGATACCTCAATCTAAAAATAATGAAAATAGAAACAGTGTCTACATGTAAGTGACTCTTACTAGTTGGGTATATTTCTTTGGAATGTTAAATCCTACACCTTTGTGCTAGTGCACTAGTAGCAAAATAAACCAGTGCTTTATCAGACTCATTTGTTTTTACTCTCATTCATGTAACATTCAGGTCATGCAGGCCCAGCAACAAACTCTAAGGACTTAACTTGTTCTTTATGAGATGGAAAGCCAGGGGTGAATGTGGAGATAGGATCACCTTAAACTTCTAACAATGTCTGTGTAGTTTATTGCACATCGAGCTCACTATCAGAACTCGAAAAGCTGGGGAATACACACACGTAGTCTGTTTAAAGGAATTAAGTATTGAAACCCCAAGCATTTGAGGAGCTACGATCTAAGAAGGAAAGTTGTATAGGATGAACAAACACTGAAGTACTGGGCCCAGCAAGAAGTAGGATTTTTAGTTTAAAGCACTAAGTGGACATGAGCCAGAAATTGACCTGCCCTCACAAAAATGTAAAGCTTTGAATCCACTAAATCCTAAAAGAATTAATGTGATTTTCTTGATACCCTATGGGCCTACAAGAAAATTACTGGTGAAAATTATATTTTGCTAGCTAGAGCAGGGATTGTCAATAGTTTATAGATAACCAGGCTTGGCTAGGCATGGTGGTGTATGCCTGTAATCTCAGCACTTGGGAGACTGAAGGAGGAGGATAGAGGATCACTGAGAGTTCGAGGCCAGCCTGGACTGAATAGAGACACTGTCTCAAAAAACAAAACACAATATAAATAAGTAGGCTTGTGGTCACTGGGTTTCCGTTACACCTACTCAAATCTACTAGTGTAGCACAACAAAAGCAGACAGATAATACATGAACAGTTGTGACAATATTCCAACAAAACGTCTTATAGACACTTCGGTTTTAATTTTCAAGTTTCATGTGTTGCCAAATACTATTCTTTGGATTATTGTAAAACCAGACCCCCCACACACATACACAAAGGTGGTAGGTTAGATTTGGCCTGTGGAGCAAAGTTTAGAGCCTACCTAGCCAAAGCCACAAATTATCCTTATAATTTTTCACAGACAATATTCAGAATTATAATTATATCAAAATTTACTAGGTAGCTGGGCATGGTGGCGCACTCCTGTAATCCTAACACTCGGGAGGCTGAGGCAGGAGGATCGTGGTGAGCTCGAGGCCAGTCTGGGCTACAAAGTGAGCTCAAGGTCAGCCTGAACTGCATAACGAGATCCTGTCTCAAAGAGACAAAAAAAATTTTTTTTTTACTAGGCACAACAGTAAATTAATAGGATTTCAGGATTGATAAATAACGGAAAAAAAGACACAATAGAGATTCTTTTAGTTACTTTTCTCATTGCTGAGACAAAATACCCAATGCCCCAAATTAAAGGGGGAATGGTTATTTCCGCTCAGTTTGTAGGGATTTCAGTCCATAATCAGCTGAATCCAAGGCAGGCTGGGATGGATGGCAGAGGGGCCTGGCAAAGGCGAAACAGTCCATGGCATTGCAGGGCAGGCAGAAGGCAGGAGGCAGCAGAAGCCACAGCAGCAGCCAGCCTTCTTTTGGTCCTTTTATAGTCCATCCATGCTACTCACCCTTTGGGTGGTGACACCTGCACACAAGGTGGGGCACCTATAATTCCAGCATCACACTCTTAATTCCAGTATCACATTCTACCACTCCACCTCTGCACCCCACCTCCCTTGCAACCTCACAACAACCTCCCTCCATGGGCCTTCGAGGCCTGCTATTTTGGGAATGATCCCAACCAGTGCCCTTCAATGTAAAATAAATTTGCCTCCAAATCCTAGATGTTGTTTTGGTGCTTCTGCTTGCCGTTGCAATAGTAAATGGCAGAAGCCGGGTGTGGTGGCACACACCTGTAATTCCAGCACTCGGGAGGCTGAGGCAGGAGGATCATTGTGAGTTCGAGACCAGCCTGGGCTACGAAGTGAGCTCAAGGCCAGCCTGAACTGCATAGCAAGACCCTGTGTCAAAAAAGACACACACACACACACACACAAAAGTAAATGGCAGATTAGACATAGCTCATGTAAAGATTATTGAAAATGAGCTGGGGATATAGCT